ATGAAGGAACTCCTCCCTTTGAGTGCTTTCAATGGTAGTGCTTGAACATTAGGGAGGAGTCTTACCCTTAAGAAATTGTTGGCATCCTGCCCAAAAATTTAATGGAGAATTTCAAAATACTATTTGTGCCTATTTCTAATATAGATGCTAAAGAATAATACTGCTGGTGATATAGTAGTATTGGTCTAAGACATTTTTCTGCCTGAAGCAAAGAAAAAAAATAGATCTTCCCCTCCCATTCAGTGGAGAAAGCATAACTAGACTAGTAGTTTCAATTTATCTTCAACACTGATGTTGATGTAGTAACTTGACAGCCACCAAAGCTTGGGGGTATAAGGAAGTTCTTTCTTCCATGACCTTTCCCCCCTTTTTAATAGTAGTTTTATTAAAAATTACAACTACAACAATAAAAAACTAATAAAAAGAAAAAGAAAAAATAGAAGGTGCAGGAAAGAAAAAGAAAATAGAAAAGAAAGAAAAAATAAGAATATAGTGAAGAAAGAGAAATATATAAAGAAATGACTTCCCCCTTCATCACAAGTATAAATAATTTTAGTAACTTATCACCTTCTCTTAAAAAACAACAAATGTTCACTTCTTCCCATATCCCATCTCTTATCTATAAACAAATCCTTAAAAACCTCATCATTTTAGTCCTGATCAGCAAAGGTCCATGAAGGGTTACCAGAGATAACAACCTATCTATTTTAATCTTGAGCAAATAAACCAACTTTATATTCCTTCCTTTTACTTCTAACAATCTTGATCTTTAGTCCCTTCAAATAATGTCCTACAACTTGATTTCTTTTCATTTTTTCTTTGTCTCCTCTTATGAAATCCTTCAAAAATTTTAACAAGTCTCTTTTGTAAATCCAATATAGGAAAATCATCCAGCTCACTCTCTTGGTTTGTTATTTGTATATCCTTTTTAATTATTAAGACATCAGCCAGTTTCTTTGTAGCATCTTTTTCCATATCATTCTTATACTGTAGTTTGTCATTTTTAAATCTACTTTCAGATCAGTCCCAATCTTGTCCAGTAAAACTTGTTCCTCTTCCAAAGCATCTTTTAAACACAGTCTATCTATAGAGGCAGACACTCTTAAAATTAACTTCTGGGTCCATTGTTCAAAAATACCTTCCTATATGTCCGAATGGTGAACTGGAGATGACTCCGCTAAAAGTGGAGCTGATCAGCATGGTGGAATGAAGAGCTGGTAGGTAGACTGGCTCTTCATAATTCCTCTCTGGACAAGGAGAGGACTTGAGATTGCCCACAAGTGCTCCAGACAGTTGCTCCTCAGAGGAGACTGTAAGAGAGAGGTCTCCAGTGGGTTTAGAGTTCTGGGAGATGAGGGAATAACCATCTTGCTCAAAACATGGTTGGCACCTTTAAAAGGACACTAGTTTCACATACTTCCTTTTCTAATCACTTTCAGAAATTGCTTGTTAACTGCTTTTCAGCTATTAGGAACCTTTGGATCAACAAGTTTTATAGCACCAGGTAATCCTTCAATCTTGTTAACTGCTTTTCAGCTATTAGGAACCTTTGGATCAACAAGTTTTATAGCACCAGGTAATCCTTCAATCCTTAGCAAAATAAGTTTTAAATACAAGTTTAAGGACTTAATTTTTTTTCTGGACTAAACAGCAAAAGGGTGATTAAAATTTTGGTTTTAGAAAGTTACAAATGGACTAAGATAAAATTCAAATAAGTTTTTGGAATTAATTATAAGAATCCTTCCCATGGGAAGATACTTTTGAATTCTTAAAAAAAAAAAAACATGATAGGATGGGACTTTGAAAGTTGGACACTAGAGGGAACTAGAAGGAACTAAAGATTACAATTAAAGGAGAAGAACACCTTTTTTCTCAGGAAGTGTCACCTAAGGTTACTATTTCATTTTGACTAATAGTAGCCCCAGCCTTCTTAAATATCTATGGAAAGTAAACTGTAGTAGGGGCATAGCTTTTCTGTGAACAATCAGACAAGAAGTATAGGTTTAAAAAAGCTCAGATTCCTAGCTCAAGAAGAACAGGAAATGTTAGGTCTTTTTAAATTATTTGAATTGTATGTGTGCTGCTTATCACTTTGGCTGCCAAGGTACATCTCTAGATACAATATATAAACTGAATTTCGTTACATATCTGGAAACAATTCAATATGATCAGCTCATGCTGCATTGTTAATATGCACATTGTAGAGGGCTTTATTGGGAGCTTGGCTTATATAGAATGCCTGATTAGTAATACAAGGCCAGACCAAGGTGAAGTTAAAATAACTGAATGCATGAGATTCAACATGGTTTTTAGTACAAGGCTAGAATAAGATGAAAATTCTGTAGAATATTTGCAACATACACTTTCAGTTGAAATTAGATATAAAAGAATGTATTTGATTTTTTTATATATATACATTAAAAATTGTGATCAGTGATCCAGTTCTAAGCTGTTAGGATGTTAGGTACACCAAAAATCAACCAATATTAAGTGCTCATTTAGGACTTTTAAAAATAAATAAAAGCTGATGACAATACCCCGATAGCTGAAAATGCAAAGGATCTGCATGCAAAGGATCTGCAAGTAATAAAAGTCAAGGAGCATAGTGAAAAAATGGGACTAAAATTAAACATAAAGAAGACCAAACTAATGACAACAGTAGAACAACCAGCCTTAGAATTGACAATGAAGGTATCAAAGTGGTGGACAGCTTCTGCCTTTTAGGATCAACCATCAACAGTAAAGGAACCAGCAGTCAAGAAATACACTGCAGACTAACACTTGGTAGAGCAGCCATGAAGGCCTTGGAAAAGATATTCAAATGCTCTGATGGGTCTATACCTACAATATCAGAATCAGGCAAGCTATGGTATTCCTTGCAACACTCTATGGAAGTGAAAGTTGGACTTGAAGAAGCTGAATAGGAGAGTATTGATACTTTTGAATTTTGGTATTGGTACAGAATATTGTACCACGGACAGCAAAGAAATCAAACAAATAGATCATGAACAAATCAACCCAGAGTTATCATTCAAGGCATAAATGAACAGGCTTAAATTATTCTACTTTGGACACATTATGCAAAGACCCAGCTCTCTGGAGAAGGCTCTAATGCTGGTGAAGGTGGAAGGAAAGAGAAGACAACCAGCAGCAAGGTGGACGATTCTGTTACAGTGGTGATGAGTGCACTGTTGGAAGACCTGAAACATCAGATTAGGGACATATTGTCATGGAGAAAATCTATCTATGTGGTCACTAAGAGTCAACAATGACTTCAGGGCACATAATCAATCAATCAATTAATCAAAAGTAAATAGTATTTTTGTTGTTTTCTGGAAAAAAATGTTATTTCTCTGTTTTTTCCCCCTTATGTGTTCTCCTTTCATGTTCTTTTAACATTACATTGTATTTAAGTACCTGGACTAGAACATACTATACTAGTATTTGCATGTCCAGCTGAAGTTCAAGGGCAACTGTCCCAAAATGTTCTCCAAACATTTTGGGAACATGTGCCAAGGTTCTACAAAGGGACAGGTGTCATGGCCCCTGTGTCTTTGGCGCCATACCTTTCTTATTGTAGTAAACAGGTTTAGCATGACTGTATCCTAGATGAATACATTTGCTCCAAACGCATGTTTTGAGGGAATGGTGATAGTTAGCTATGTTCTTACAGATGTAAATTATACAAATGCAGGGAAAAAACAGGTACAGTATTGCTTAGGGCCCAGATAAACTTGTTAAGCCTGTAATAATCTGAGCCTTAGGTCATTCTGTTCTTATCCAGGAAGGTGTTCTTAGCTAGGGAACAACCTTACAGTTCAAAAGTAACTACAGGTAGTCCTTGACTTACAACCACAATAGGGACCAGAAAATTCATCGTTAACTGATGTGGTCATTAAGTAAGGCATCACATGACTGCACCCAATTTTATGACCTTTTTTGCAGTGGTTGTTACGCGAATCACCATGGTTGTTAAGCGAATCACCTGGTTCCCCATTGATTTTGTTTGTTGGAAGCTGGCTGGGAAGGTCACAAATGGCAATCACATGACTCCAGGATGCTGCAACTGTTATAAATACATGCTGGCTGCCAAGCGCCTGAATTTTGATCATGTGACCATGGGGACGCTGCAATGGTCATAAATGCAAGGACCGTTGTAAATCACTTTTTTCAGTGCCATCATAGCTTAGAATGTTTGCTAAACAAATGGTCATAAGCTGAGGATTCCCTGTACAGGTTAAATTAGGCTGCTTCTCTTCTTTCTTGTTTCTTCATGTTCCATCATCATCATCAACATCATCATCATCATCTTAAACTCAGGAATAAAATGGTATACAATTCCCAAGAGACAAAAAATGTCAGTATATAGTTGGACTATCCATTACATGTGTATTCAGGATCTGCAGTGGACGACAAGGGGCAGGCAGAATGAGGAAGTAAATGTCATGGAGTTGCAATGCAAGCCCTGCCCCTTTTGTACATGGACATGACATTCCACGCATGCCCCAAAAGGACAAATTTGCACTTTCACTACTAAAACTCTCATATCTGTTTGTAACCTTCAGTTGGGCGAAATGGTACATCATAGGCAACAATTTTTGAACAAGGTACCTCAAATGGGCTAACATACAGAATGTGTCCAAAATCTGGGACCCAGTTGCCGCCTTACCTGGAGCAAGAGGCCCTGAAAATTGTGACTCTCTCTCTCTCTCTCTCTCTTTTTTTTAATAAAAACTTTATTAAGTTATAAAAAGCATAAAGAGATTTATATTTCTACTTCATATAGCATGGGTCATGTGAACTTTGCCAATAGTTCCTTACATAGGTTTTTATATAATATAGCCACATGTACTACATAGGAACATTTCACTTCTATGTCATATATTCACTGACTCTATTTTTTTTTAGCACAAAGTGGGCAAAAGAGTCAAATACTACACAAAAATCAGGGATAAAAATTAGTATGTTTTTCATCCATAATGTTCTTGCTCTGTTTGCAGGTTCCATATATGATGGTCTGTCTGATGGTTACAACTATGGAACAGCCCGCGGTAGCTACTATGCCAAAGCCCACACGGGAACCAACAACTGGGGCCAAGCGGTAAGCTTTTTTTGTCATGTTGTCAGGAATGGGAAACCCAAATCATTCTCAGGCCTATTTAAACCCATGTTGAGAAGGACTGGAAGATGGAATGGTTAATTTGTTCAAAGACATCATCATCAACTTTCTGACACCAAATATTGTATAATATTCCAGTGATCAGGGAATACCAGTCTTGTTTGCTATGATTCTCTCTATGTTGTGTTTTCTGGCTGTAAGGCCCTGATAAAGATTAAATTAAGATATTACTCTGCAGAAAATAGAAGTCATATTTTCAGATATGTTTCTCCTGAATACATTGAAACTCCATACATCTGTTTCTTTAGATGTGTGTAGATACAGGCAGCACATGTGAGCAAATATATGTGTCTGAGGTTGATAGATTTACTGACTTATAAACAGACAAAATACAGCTAATGTAAATTTCCATTTAATGTAAATGTAAATTTATATTATGTATAACTATTGAAATCTATAGTTATATAATTATGTTGTCTTGCTAGCTGAGAATGTTGGGGATTATAGTCCTAATGCATCTATAAGGTGGTAGACTGGGGAAATTTGCAGAAGCCCAAAAGTAGTCCTATGTGTGCTTCATTAGGCTCCATTTCTAACTGGATCTTGGAATAAGGTGGAACTGGGGAGGCCTACACACAACATACATTTAATTCTGTGTTTCTCTAAGCAGGGACAGATGAATATATTTAAAAATCTTTTGGGAAAAAGCGAAAGAAATTGAATTAGTAAAAGTATATTGTTTCAGAGAAATTAGAATGCATAAGACTTTATTTCCTGGTAATCATGGTTACTTAGTTAAAATATTAAGTGGCTAAAGGCTACATTGGAATTGATCAGCCTTTGAACATAAGCTACTATAACTGACTTTTTTAATAAAAACCATTGAGCTGAGCATAGCAGCTGTCTTAGGTGGCAGATGCTCAGATGAGATCAGTGTGGCATTTGAGAATGTTACCTACCCTGCCAAGCAACTCCTTCACTAATCTACTGCCCTTGGTGCATTGGAAAATTATGTTCCATCGGTAGGGTTGAAGTCAGCAGCCTTATTCAGTGAGGTCAGCCATCTTTTTTTTTTTCAAGAGTGGCTGTGAGAATTTCTGTACTTCATAATATAGCATTTTTCCCCAATGTATATTCTAGCCAGGAATACAGGAGGGCTGCACTGAAGAGTCAACAAGCCACCTGAAGGCTGGTGTGGGTCTTCCAGGCTGTGTGGCCGTGTTCTGGAAGTTTTGTTTCCTAACATTTCGCCAGCATCTATGACCGGCATCTTCAGAGAGCAGGAGCACAGACAGGAGCAGTTCTCTCTGGGCCCAGAGAGAACTGCTCCTGTCTGTGCTCCTGCTCTCTGAAGATGCCGGTCATAGATGCTGGCGAAATGTTAGGAAACAAAACTTCCAGAACACGGCCACACAGCCTGGAAGACCCACACCAGCCATCGTATTCCGGCTGTGAAAGTCTTCGACAGTACAAAGCCACCTGAAGCTTGTAGGACCATTTAATGTATTTGCTTGAATTTTATATTAAAATAAAAAGAGGAGGAAAATCCCATGCCCACTTGATTAAAATATGAGGTCAATCAGCCCAAGGTTAATTTAGATTCAGAGAGAGTTTTCATGCATATACACATGGACACTACCCACCACCCCCAAGGGGCTGGAAAACCTTAAGTCAAAGGCAACTGAACAGTTTCCAGCTATGAAAAAGGAAACCATTCTGTATGTCTAAAATTAAGCTGTCAGACAAAATTAAGCTGTCAGGGTAAGAGCCCATGAAAAACTGCATGGTAGACCGAGAGACAAGAGGAGCTGCCTTTAGCATGAAAAATCATTTGTTAGTCTGCTAGTGAAATGTATATGGAACTCAATGACCAGCATATGCTCTGATTGCAAATCTGGAATAGTTGAACAAAAATAGTTTTTTGGGGTTTTGTGGGAAGCGGCATAATTAGGAAGTATGGCAATCAAAATTAGAAATAGAATGTGCTAAAATAGTTGGAATATTTGCATAAGTGTGTGTGTAAGAGAGAGAGAGAGAAAAAGAGAGGAGGAGGAGGGAAAGAAGAAGAAGAAGAAGAAGAAGAAGAAGAAGAAGAAGAAGAAGA